TAATACGCCCGGGATTTTTGAAAGAATAAGATCTTTAGCTCGGAGGGTAGAATCGTGTGTCGAATCACCAGGTGGTCACTTCCAGCATCTACTTTGATATTTTACATTATTTTCAGTTATACAATTTTTATCATTACGTTTTCGCCCTTAAATTTGTTGTTTATAGTTTACGTTATTTCATTCTGACAAAATTAGTTGAAACTTAAATTACTCAGAAACTGTAGCTTTAATCAAAATTTTGCAAGAGACCAATTCGATAGACAATTGAACACTTTACACGAGAATAGCGCCTGTTTGACAAAATTAGCAGTGACGTAGAAAATATTTTTAAAAAAGGGTCACGTTGACCTCGTCTCTACGACACTGCTGCTCATAAAATTTTGAGCAGTACTTCAAACATTGGTCTTAAGGTGCTAACTACGCATAGCAAATTTGAAATAGAAATGTTCAGGCATTTTGGAATTATTGCAGACAGTGTTTAATTTTATAGAAACTTTGACGCCCTGTATCTCGTTAAGGAGGTTATTTGCGACCCTATGTTTATTAAGACTTTTCGTCTTAATTTGTCAGGTATTACATACCCTAGAAGTCTGTCAGCGGTTTTTTGAATCACCCCGTAGAAAATTTTTATTATATGTTCATTTGATTTTAATTATTTATGTCCTCAAACAATTTTATTATATTGATGGTAAATTTCAGTTTATTCCGTTTCAAAAGGTCTCCAAAGTACCATGTTGTAATAATATTAGTAAACAAAATATCCCTCTTATTTCTCCCTTTCGCAATTGTAATATGAATGATTAATAGAAGTTACTTATAATAAATTAAAATTACCTGAATCACATCAAATTCCGCATTGCTGCACTCCATTTGTTGTCCATTTGTTGACAACTGAATTTATGACCAGGTCGCTCAGTGCGGCTGTGTTTCTGCCGCGTTTGCCCGCGCGCTAATTCTTCAAGTGGGCGACCAGATTTGTATATGAGTATGGCTAAATAAATATGGGAACAAGTTTTTCAATTATTTCAATGCCGAGTTGCTGCGTTAGCGACCGAACATTATGCCAACCTCTTGATTCTTCAATTGAGATCGGATAGACTATAACACAGAAATGCATTTTTACAGTCTAGCTAGACTATTGTAATCTTTAAAATAAATTTGTCAAATTTAGCAACGCGCTATTTCTCTTTAAATAAATTTTTTCATACAAAGTTATATTCTATTTAATTCCTTTTTAACTTCAGGAGTCCCTCAGAGCTCAAACCTTGGGCTTGTACAATATTTTGATTGTGGTTTGTCCTTTCTACAAATGAGGCAGCACGCTGTATAGTTTTATTTTAACGAAAAGTAAAAATGTTAACAACATTAAGAATTAAAGCTCTAAAAACATACTTTTAGTTTAGTAGGTCCTAAATGTTAAGACATTTTTCTTAACATTCCAAAAATAAACCTTTGTTTAAAAAAATGATGATTACCGCTACACAATTGCTAGATCAGGATGATATTATATTTAAATAAAATTAAGAATTGAATATCTCTACATCATTATTTTTTGTTAGAGTTTATTTTAATTCATTTAACTCTTCTGCAGTCAGTTAAATTTAACTTATCTATATTTAGATTAAATATACATTATTTTTAGTAATTAAATATTGAACAATGAGGCTTTTATGATTATTACATTTTCAAAGGTTGAATGAAATTTTCTGAAACGTTACTATCCTGCAGTGCCATTAAGATAATTTCATCTATCGGTTGCTGTCCGATGTTTAAAACTTAAAAAACTCTGTTACTACAGCTTCAGAAACTGTGGATAAAAAGACAAATATCTAACTTCTCACTAAAAGGAAATTTCCAACGAAATGCATTTATTGGATTACCTGACAAAGAAAATAAATAATGACGTAGCAATGCAGTTCAATTTTCTTCTGTAAAGACGAGCGTGGTAAAAATAAATCCATTCTAAAGCTTATAAAAGCCAAAGTTGCCTTTTTGCGTCTGGGAGAAAGTTCTAAAGCCAACACAAATAAAAAATATACATCAACAGCTCCCCTTAGGCCATAAAGACTTTGATATTTACGATGGATAACTAGGAGTTATTTCAACACTTTTCCCAAACCGAAAGATTGAGAGGGGAGAAAGAGTTTTGACTCTATTTATTACTTGATATACTTTCTTAAATACTTTCCAGTTTAGCTTTTAATTAATATGCGAATACTTTGGAAAGGTAAGTGAATTTGCACCACTATGTTTCAAATAATTTATGTCCCAATATAGCAAGTTAAAAATACTTGAAACTCAAACAATGAAACTTAACTAAAAATATGGAGAAAATGGATAAAATCAGCATAAAATTAGTATATTTTGACCAGTATACAAAATCACATTATCCCGTTTAATATAAATACTGAATATACAGGGTGTTCACCTAAGAGGAATTTTTCTGTAACTCTGCAACTGTAAAATTTATTAAAATATGGTTTTAATAAAAGTTGCCTGGGCCATGTAAAGGAAATATTTTTAGCTTTACAGGGTGTTCCGTTTCGCGTGGGCGCTACGTAACTTTGTTGTTTTAAATGGAACACCCTGTATATTATTGCATTTTTAGTAGTAATCAATATCTTAAGTTCCATCAATCTGCGTCAAAAAATGGCTCAGAAGATATTTAAATAAATGTGTTATACTGTACGAGCCTAAAATATGGAATAAATTCAGTAAAAACGAAACATTTTTTTTGGGAAAAATCCTCGAACTGGTCGATTTTTAATTTAAAAAATACATATTTTAGCATAAAAGGCGATTTTCAACCGTAATTTGTTTTCGAGTAATGACGTCATCGACATTTTTTTAAATAGCAACCCCCTATTTTTTTTCTTGATTCTGAAATATCGTTTCATTGTCGATCCGACAGTATTAAAATGTTGCCATCTTACATAGGAAAGTTTTCGAGCAAATGACGATTGAATGTTAGAAAACCCAAATCAATTAAAATAAAGCAAAAACGTTGTGAAATTTAGTTTTTCGAAATGCCTGAAATCTTTACAGTGTCACTGTCATACCGACTTTCTAAGTATTGTAAGCGATATAAAAATTATTGTTGCATTTAAAGTAATATGGCACATTTAACTGTCACACAAAGAATTGAAATTTTAATTCTTATCGGATGCGGGAATAAGACTAGAACGCTGCAGGAAGTTTGCGATTTATTTAATGAAAAACATCCAGATCGCCGTATCAGCCAATCAAGTAAGATATAATCTAAATTTAGAGAAACTGGCAATGTTGTAGATATTCCAAAACCTGGACGTCCAAGCGTTAGTGAAGATCACAAACAGAACATTTTGATAAGTATGGTAGATAATCCTCATACTTCACGATTGGTTGCATTAAACGATGAAATTAGTCAGACCACAGTGCTACGTATCCTAAGGAAGGAAAAATATCATCCCTATAAAATTCAACTTGTGCAGGAACTCAATGAAGATGATCCCGACCGCCGCGCCGCTTACACTTTTGTGAAATTATGATGGATTTATGTCAAGTAAATAGAGATTTATACCGGCAAATACTTTTTTCAGACGAGGCCACGTTTTGTCTCAATGGTACAGTGAACCGTCAAACTTGCAGGTATTGGAGTCGGGAAAATCCTCATTGGATGGCAGAGACACATACCCAACACCCACAGAAATTAAATGTGTGGGCTGGAATGGTTGACAACAGAATAGTAGGGCCTTTCTTCTTTGAAGGAACCCTTACAGAAGAAAGATATTTAGAGTTTTTACAAAATGACCTTGTTCCAGCGCTTGCAGTAATTTTTCCTAATGATAATGACCCTGATATTCCTGATGACACCATATGGTTTCAGCAAGACGGTGCACCTCCGCAATATGCGCGCCCTGTTCGAGATTTTCTGGACAATTGTTTTCCTAGGAGGTGGATCAGCAGACGAGGACCGATAGAATGGCCCGCGAGATCCCCAGATCTTACACCCCTGGACTATTTCTTATGGGGCTACATAAAGTTCAAAGTGTACGTTAATAGATCACATAATTTAGAAGAACCCCAGAAATGATTCATAATGTGCAAGAAGAATTTCTACACAGACTTGCGTATTGTCAAGAAGTAGGTGGGTGGCAATTCGAACACTTAATATAGGTAGAAAACTTAATGAATTGTATTTGCTTGACATAGGAATTGTTATTTTTTTAATGAATAAAATTTACGATTTCTAACATTCAATCGTCATTTACTCGAAAACGTTCCTATGTAAGATGGCAACATTTTAATACTGTCGGATCGACAATGAAACGATCTTTCAGAATCAAGAAAAAAATAGGGGTTGCTATTTAAAAATATGTCGATGACGTCATTACTCGAAAATAAATGACGGTTGAAAATCGTCTTTTATGCTAAAATATGTATTTTTTAAATTAAAAATCGACCTGTTCGGGGATTTTTCCCAAAAAAAATTTGTTTCGTTTTTACTGAATTAATTCCATACTTTAGGCGCGTACGGTATTTTTAAAATTGTAATAGGTAATATTTAATAATATCTCTTCCAGAAAATTAAGTCCTATTGCTCCCAGCTCTGATTAACCAAGGCAAAGTTCAAGACGAAATTCTAACCACATGCATTAATTTTTTGACTAAACCCCGTATTTAAGCATTTCTTGTGTTCTCGAACTTTGTTAAATACAGTTTTTAACGGAAACAAAAACTAAAGGCACTTTGTTTAGGGAAAATTTCACATTCTGAAATTTTTTGGAAGCCCTGTATATTTTATTACATATTTGATTACTGCCCATGACTTCCCAAGGTAAGCAAAACTTTTTGTCAAGAATAACTTTTTCTCGAAAAATGAACAATAAATGATTAAGTTGTACATTAAAAACTATTCAGTCGGAAAATAACATAAATTATTAAGTAGATAATTTTAGATATATTTGGTGCCGACAACCACTTCATATTTAAGAAAGAAATAATTTAGATTCAAGTAAATAATGAGGTAATAATCGCACAAACACTGCTACCGTATGTTTATGTGAAAAACTGTTGACCATATCGTATCAATACAAATAAACTGATAACGATATTGCAAAACATTTTTATCTCCACTTTTATTATCATTTTTTTATCAGTCACACTAGTAACTCGTCACGGCTTACATAAAACATCACTTAGCCATAAATCATGAAGGTATCAAACTGATACCTTAACCAACCGACGAAATGACAGACTATCGAAAATTATAGCGCAAAATGGGTCCGTTCTTGTACTGGATACTGTTCTCTGTACTAGTGGCCTTGTTGGTAATATCCATTAGTTATTTCGCTTTTAATATTGTTATTGATATCTGCCTCGTAGACACGACAGGCGCAGAGAGACAGACGAGTGAGACCGAAGACAACTGTCGCCTTAACAAGTATTATTTCGACAGGCACGATGTGGAGGACCTGACAAGAATACAGGGAGATTTCAAGACTGTCCGGCCAAACCTCAGCCTTAGTAATGAAGTGGAGAAAAGCAGTGTGGACCGACTATTGAAGAAAAAAGACCACAGGTATTCTTCCCTGTCGAATATAGATGAAGAAGTCGCTTCCAAACACAGCCTTGACGACTTAAATTCCGCCAGCAGTGTACAGTCCGCGTTGACAGACGAAAATGTCAGGGAAAAGACTAAAATATCCCAAAGCGTCGACAATTTAGAATTTTGCGATCCCAAAGGCATCGATGTGTTGAAGGAAATACACAAGATAGAAGACGAAGCGAAGAAAATCGATAAAGACCTAGACTATTTTATAGGAAGTAAAAGTGACGTTAAGTTCTACGAAATAAACGAGACTTTGTTAAGACTTATGATTTCTTTGTGTGACATAACGTGTGAGACTCATGAACTACGGAGCAAGAAACGTGAAACGTTGGAGTACATCGAGGAGTGTCAGAGGAAATTGAAGGCCAAAGTTAAAGATATGTTGTGAGGTGTTATACTTAAGTTCTGAGGAGTGAAAGTTGAACACAAGAAGTCATTACGCAGTCCTAAATGACCACGTACAATGAGAAGAACTTTTCAATACACAGTTTTCTAAATAATAATTTTTAAAACAATAGCAGGAAAATGAAAGAGAATTCTCAAAAATTGTGTAAGCAGGATTGTTTTTTTAATGCATAACTTTTATAAGAATTGACAGTCACATGCCCGATCTAACGACAGCAATGGCATTGTTGCCATATTTTCAGATAAACAGGAAACTTTTTTAATGGAACATAGTGTTTTACTATTTGTATATTTTTATTGGAATTGTAAGAAACCGTTCTAAATGTGTAAAAATATACTTGACGATCTATTTAAATAATAAAGTTTTCTGTTATATCTGAAAAAGATCCAATGCCACAACTAAATTACTCTCATCAGATCAATCAAGTACGCTTATCTTTGAATGTCAAGGTTGACATCTATCAAATAATCCATAGAAAAGTTATAGGGGGTATGCCTTTTAAATATCACTCTGTGTATTATTTGTACATATATTTTTGATGATAAATATGCCTGTAGTAGAAAAAAAATAAGGAAAATTTATATTTATGATAAATGCTTTTGTAAAAACCAAAGTAATCTACTTAAAAAGTGTTTAAATGCTTTGCAGAAGTCTAAGCTTCCTAGAAAACAACTAATAAATGTTATCTACATGTTAACAATTAGAAGACTGAATTATTTAATTTATAGAATAATAAAAATTTAAGGGAAGATACCAGATGATCATAAATAAGAGTATTACGGCGATTAGTCTTAAACAAATAACAAACCATTGAGTTAATCCAAGATAAAAATGATAAGGATTAAATTATAGTTACAGTTAAAATGTATTCTAAGAATTTATTGTAGTATACATTACCTATTTAATAAACTCTTTTCTATTGAATGTTTTATTTTGTATTGTTATATTTGAACTGTGATAATGTTTAAAATTGTTGATTAAATCAAGGATTATCTCGGCATGAAAAAAATTGGATCAAATCAGTTAACTCCTTTTTTTATTAAAATCTAAAAATAATAAAACAAACTATCCAAAATGAAGTTTCTGTTCAAAAGTTATTTCGTGCACGAACCACGAAAAAAGACCCATGAAGATGTTAAAATTTTTCAAAAAAACTTTCTGAGAAAAAACGTACTGGAAAAAGTTTTATAGATATCAAATATTAGAATAATCCACATTTAAACAAATTAAAGTTATTAAAAAATATTACAAAAACATCTTATTTCAAGTCGACATACCGTCAAAATTTGAAATGCAGCAGGATCTTAACAAAAAACAAAATTATGTTTATTAAAATCCGAAATATTTAAATACATTAATTGGTTATTAAATATGATAATTTAATATAAACATAAAAACCGTTTTTTCTCAGAAATGATTATTATTGATCTTTTTAAAGATTTTTAAATGTTTCATGAGAAGTTTATTAAAAAAAAAACACAAATAAAGAAGTTCTGGTCAATTTTCTTGTCAACAAGCTCGATGACATTTTTCGTGTGCAAAGTTTATTAATATAATATTAAGCGTACCAATCTGAAAAAAGTGTTGGCAAAATAATAATTAAAAACAAAAAATATTTATTTGTGTAATTCTTTTAATGCTTAATATAATTTTCGAAAAAGGGTCATATGTATTTAGGTACTATTATTTTTATGTAGCAGAATCACTCCTTATATCTGTTTGTTTATAGTTTCTAACCACTCTTATTGTTATTTGAACACCCGCTGAATTTAAAATTACCGGCGCCTATGGTGTGAAATACATTCAGTTCTTCTTGAAATAAATCTGAAAATAATTTAGGCCTTTCGAAATATAATTAAACTTTTCTGAAGCCAATTTTAGGAATTCTGAAATTATATAATTTTCTTAATTAGATTAGATCTACCTGAAGTGCAATCAAATAAATTTGTAGGACCTTTTTCTTGTAAAAGCAGTTTATTTATATTTAGAATTGTAATTGCAACAAACAGTCTTATATTTTTTTGTAAAATGGACAGTGATCATGTTATCATTTTATTTTTATGTACCTGGATCTCACCAGTTACAAACTTACCTTGGAGTTCCTTAGCCTTAGCTAGGCATCTTTGACCTGCCTTTGTTGTTCTCGTTCTAGGCTTTGTGCGGCCGGGGGCGCTATCAGAACCCTTTAGAAACTCAGTCTCAACGAAACATTTGCAGAGTTACCGTTGAGTGAAAAACGGCGAAACATTTGTAAGCGCTGGATGCGATTAGTTACAAAGGCCACTATGAAATGTTTCGGGGGACTAGTATTGTCTCCATTCGTAGCGGCTTTAGAACAAACAAGAACCGAAATAAACATTAGAGCGGACCTATGGGTTCTGATAGCGGGTCAGCCACCGCAAAACTTAGTCCGAGAGCAATAAGGGCAGGTCAACGATTCCTAGCTAAGGTTATGTAAGTGCATAGGCTACAGCATAACAACCTGATAAATCATAGTATTTTTTATGTCAGCATCAGGGACTGTGAGAGCCTTAAAACCACTATTATGAGTTATTTTCGAATTACCGAACTGTATAGTAAGTGTATTTTACATATCTACATATAATACCTCCAAAATAATTTCTTAAGTATCTTGCCGGTATCTTGATGCACAAATAACGAAAATGATATTTAATTTAGGTATGATTAGGCCAAGAAATATAGAGTTGGACGCGACTTTTTGTTTCGGCAAGTTGATTTTATCACTATAAATGCTAAATATTATGTACAAAAACATATTAGTTTCCACAGTCATAAAAATGGGAGGAAGATTGTTTGCAGGGTGGTTAATTGTACAATTTTTACGTAAATTCACGTTTTTCGCTTATAACTTTTTTCCGTTAATTTCCACGAGAAAACAGTAAAATACTTTTTTTTTCTTCTTCAAAACTAGGTCTCGAGCGTCAAAAAATATTGATTAGATCAAAAGTTATAAACAGAAGAAGTTTATTTATGACTTTTTTATTAAACATTTATAAACTGCGTTATTATTACCAGAACGTTTTGGCATCGCATCCTCTCATTCCTTATGACTGTCTAATAACACACAAAATCTGGAATCGGTAAGTTGAATAGTTTACAAGTTATGGCCTTATAAACAAATTAACTAATTATTATTAGTTTGGACAATCCCGAGGATCTTCCATAATCGCACTGATTTTTTTCATGGTAGATTTCATAACAACACATCGAAATCTATCATTTTTTTTTATTTTTTAGCCTTAGTGATATAGTTATATATTATTACATATTCGGAAAGCTTTAAGAGCTTTAAGTTATAAAAAAATCGTCAAGATTCGTTGAAAAACAACGGAGTTACAGACTGTCAAAGTTAACGGCCTATTGTTGAACAAATTAGGTTGGTAGCGGCAAAAAAAATACTGTTATAACCGGCAACCCGAGTCCTTTCCCAGATAAAAATGTTTTATTTGTGGAAGTATGAAGACGAAAAAAAAATACTTTACTGTTTTCTCGTGGAAATGAACTGAAAAAAGTTATAAGCGAAAAACCTGAATTTATGTAAAAATTATACAATTAACCACCCTGTAAACAATCTTCCCCCATTTTTATGACTGTGGAAACTAATATGTTATTGTACATAATATTTAGCATCTATAGTGATAAATTCAACGTGCCGAAACAAAAAGTCGCGAAATGGTAATTTCCCAGCTTATTATCCTGGCCTAACGTAATCATGACAGCTGCTTCCTTAAATATTTCTTGGTTGCATTCGTGCGAGTTGTAAGGCGAATTAATGATAGTGAATTTATTTTTTTTGTTAATAAACGGTTAGTTTTGAAGCAAAAAAAAAATAAAAAAGTTTTAAAATGAATCTTGTTATCTGATACGTATTTTTGAATTTTTGATTTGATGTTTTTGTCAAACAAAAAAGTTGTAGCAAAAAATAACTTAGGGATGCTTATTTCAACCCCCTTTAAGGGGTAGACATTTTCTAAAAATTGTTGAGAAGTTGCACATGAATTAGTAGAAAATTTGTGTAAAATTTTATTAATACATCTGTTTTGGTTTTCAAATTACAGCCGCTATTCCATTTTATTTTGGAAATTTTGAGAGATATACTTGTATCTCCCAAAGGGTTAGAAATTTTTAAGGTAATTTTTATGCAAAACGTTTTTTTTTTAGCTGTAGATTCACTGGTACCATTTGTGATTTCTTTTAAAAACACCCTGTATAGGCAAAAATAGGCTCAGATATTTTGGTTTCCCAACAAGTCTTCCGAAACTGTAGTAAATAAATGAATTTATCCCTAATTCTAATTAGGGGGCTCAGCTTTTGGCTCGGGATTAAATGAACATAGAATATTAAAAAAAAAGTAAAATAAATTCTATTTGTAGTGTTTACCTGTCGGCAAAGCAATTTGGAACGAGTTCCATTGCACGGTCTTTATTAAATCCACCACAGGCCGAGGCAGTCGGCAAAGAGAATAAGTAATCAGGTAAATATCGCCCGAACTTCTCCCCCATTAATGTTTCAGGCGGCCCCGGAGTTTTTTCACGGGTAGCACCTGTAGATATCGCCGGATCGGAAAAATTGCGTCCCGTCGGGCGAGATCGTGTCGGTTCGAGGAAACGGCGCTGTCCACGGCCAACTGAAAGCTGGAAGACAGACCGAATTAGTCTGAAAACCGGCTCGTTCCGATCTGTATTAGTTTAGACGTTCTCCGACCCGTTATTCGTCTGTTTGCAATGATTTGAATCAGTTCTAATAACAATTTAAATCGTCCCCGTATAATTTCTATGTGACATGATCCCGTGCTTAACGTTTAACTTTAAAAAGTATTGTTTTGGTTAGAGCTTTAGCGTCACAGGTAAAATGGGTTGATAAAGCAACAGTTAAATAATGTGAAATCAATTTCAGCAGCTGAATTGATTCCTGATTTAGTGGCCTTTTTTTAAATCGATGTACTCTCGCGGGGGTAACGCTTTTTTCAGGTAAATCCTTGTGAAAACAACGAATGGAAAGTTTATTATGTTTGGAACTTACTCTGCGGGGTTGTTATTAAAAATGAATTAGCGGAGAACGAAATTTCCGTCTCTGAAGTTTCAGTAATTATGTTTATGATTTTATTGCTTTATCCACATGGAAAAAAACTTCGATGGAATAATTCACCCTATACTGAAAAGTGTTTTATGTACATTTTATATAAATCAATATTTGGCAAATGTTGGCGCTCTTTATTAACTAATTTTACAAGTATAAAGCTATTATGTTGTATAATACCCACATATTAAAATTAATTATGATTTACTTCGATATATTTTCGAAACTTGTATACTCAAACAATCTGCACTGTACCAAAAAAGCACTAAGTTATAAAATAGGATTTTAGTAACTTAAAATCAAATAAATTGTTTAAAACTGAAACATGAAAAGATGATATAGCTGCATATAATTATTTAACAAAATGAAATATGTTAATAGCTAGATATTATGTTCAGCAGTTCATCATCTTTTGTTTATGATATATGTATAGACAGGTACTTCTCTAGTTTTATTTCGTAACTGCAGCTTACATAAGGGATATTTTGACAGATGTGGTAATTGACAGAAGTACCAAATTCAGTAGCATGTAGTAAAATAGAAATTTTACTCCGTCAGTCCCATAATGAGCTTTCTTTCCTTTAAAATAAGTCTGTATATTCAAACAAACTATATCCAAAGAGTTTTATTTTCAAAAAGTAACGTTTTCATGTTAATCGATATATCAAATGTTCAATATGGTCTTATTTTGTTTATTCCTCTTTATATTAGAGACTTTCCTAAGAAAATGATTATCACACTGTTGATTTTTAAATATTCAGCTCTTAATAATGACGATTTAGATTATTATTGACAAATAATAGAATATAGATAATACTTTTTTC